ATCATAATGCGGACGTCGGCAATATAGATAAGAACGGTGACACCGTACTGCATATTGCGTGCAATTTAGCCAAGAGCAAGAGCCAAAAAATTGTGTCTATACCCGAAAGTATCCGAGATTCACCACTTATACATGCTGTACGTCGTCTATTTTTTACGTGAATATGTGAACCAATTATATATATATATGTGTGTGTGTGTGTGTGTGTGTGTGTGTGTGTGTGTGTAATAATATACCTGGTGATCTAATAATACGGTAAATGTTAAAATAAAAAAAAACTCATTACATTAAAAAACAAATTGCAGTTAGACCCCTTTAAAATACTCTCTCTCGCTACTAATACACTTATCCCATCTTTCTTGCCACTTGCTAAAGCAGTAGTGGAAGTCTTCTTTCATAAGTGCCTTTAATTGCATTATCGTAACTGTCACAATGTTTTCAATTGATTCGAAACCTTCACGGTAAACTCTAAATGATTATAAGCCCTATTAGAGCATTAGAACGATGGGATAAGTGTATTAGAAGTAATGGGAGTATTTTGAAGGAAACCAATTATAATTTGTATTCTAATGTAATAAGTTTCATTTTATGTTAACATTTATCGGTTTTTTATCACAATAGTATACACACCAATTCTATATATCAATAATTATGCTATTTTATATCTGGAACCTTCAAAATTTGAAAAAAAATAGATACCTTAATTCTTAAAGTTAATTCTTTATCAATTCTTTCAAACGAACAATTTCTTTTTCCGGCAGACCTGGAAGAAGTTGGCGAGGCAAGGCGCACAGACTGAATTAGCATTAGCTTGTTTCTTGATAAGCGTGGACAGAAGCTGCAAACTCCTCATGCAAGTCAGAAACAATAAGTACAAAACACCTTTCGATCTTTTGGAAGGCAAGCAACAGGCCGCTCTGTTTGCCTATTTTCTAGAGTAAGTCGAGGATACAATTGTTTTATTTCCGCAAGTCCAATCTTCAAAATGTAAATTTGATTGAAACACAAAGTTGAATTTACGTTTTTAAAACTGGTCTTGCAACGCTTCCGGAATTACTCATCAATTGATTTTGACAATTCAAACTTTTATTACTAAACATAAAATGTAATTCATCTTGCAGAATAGAGAACAATCCATCGACTAGTTACGTAGAGCCACCTCCGTATCGGATAGATAATATATCGCAGTCAGAAGAATTATCCACGAAGAAAAGAAAATTCGTTTCTGGCGATACTCCCGACGCCGCGGAGTATCGAAATTACTCTGGGATCATAGCAAACACAAAGCAAGAGAACCGAATTGATCTTAGCAGTAGTACCACGCTCGTTGATTGCGACCATACCGTCAAGACGCAAATGATTCATGGTATGGAATTTTATCGATCTTCCGTAAATGATTTAAATTGTGCAAGGAATCTTATAGCGAATTAAGTATTTGTTGCATCTGCGCGATATTCTGTGTAACAAACTGTAAAACGTCTCGTGGAAATCATATACGAACGTTTTACATTATTTTCACATATTTTTTTAGATGATCAGCTAGAGACAGGCGAAATCTCCAAAGCCAATCCGGATAAATCGAAGGATGTATTGTCGGAGGACAAGCAAAAGAAGGTTAGCATCAGGGAGAAGGAGAAAGACAAAAGTCTGGAGCCACTTCCACTCCAGATGTTTCGATATTTGCAGACTAAAATCGAGAAAATTGATAAAACGAATATATGCAACATCTGCGTGGAGCGCCGTTGTAACATCGCCTTTTTATGCGGGCACTGCGCGTGTAAGGAGTGCGCCGCTCGGCTGAACTTCTGTCACATGTGCCGCAAGATGATCCAAAAAAAGATCATTTTATATTAGACTATCCGATCAGTAACCGCACCGGAACTTTGATTACCACGCGGTGCGCGCGTGTACAGCGTGTCTCAAGTGGAAATGTCGGTGATAGAACCAGTGATAATAATAATAAAATAGTCCTAATGCATTCAATTTTAAACAATTTGGACACTCCAACACAGCTCAGAACGAAAGACTTGTGTTCGCAGGAATTTTTTTACTCTTTATATTGCACGTTTCCCTCGAAATATTCTATTTGTCCAACAGGAAACTTTGCAATACGTGGGGTGTCGGCGTAGGAGAATATTCACCAATTAATCGTAAGGGCACGTGCATTACGTCATTCAATTATGATATTAAACTGTCAAAACGTACATTTTATTCCCGCAAACAATTTGTACGAAAGAAACGAAACTCTTATATGGTAAAAAATATCGTATTTATTGTATTTATTGCAAAATCATATAAGGTGTCTTCTTGACAGATTCGTGCTTTTCTATTTAATAATTTATTTTTTCTTAAACTAAGAAATATTGCAATATTTTGTGTATACACTATTTAGTGTATTTAAAGTCAAGAATTATATCTTTAATTCTTTGTAATAGCTTTGTAATTAAGCGAGTAAATGTAAAAAGGAATAAAATAAAAATGGTAATTATATCAACTTATCTAGAAGATTCTTTCATATTATATTACAATCAAATTTATCTTTACTCTTAATAATTTAAAATTTATGGACTCAAGAAAATGCATTAAACTCTTACATGTTACTTACAGAATTATTTGATTAATACTTGCAATAAGATTGGATAATAATATAAATAGAAATAAATTATTTTGTATAATACTAACAGTAACAATAAACTAAACAGTTACTAATTTTAATTCGCGCAGCGGTTTTAATGATTAATTCTCAACTTCGTTGTATAGGTATAACGCCGAGTTTCTTGTTAGAAGAGAACTTCGTAATGAGACGCATGTAGTAATGTTAAGCTCCATCTACTATAAGTCGCAAATGCGGAGAAAAAAATAAAAAAACGTCAAAAAAAGAAAAGAAAGAGAGAAACGTTCGCATTTGCAATTTATGTAAATGGGGCTTTAATCTACATATTTATAATTTCGTGTGTGGTGATGTCAAGAAACATTAACGTGTATTAACATTAGAAGTTTCCATACTTTGGATATTTTATTAAAATATACATTTCGTCCGGAATACAAAAGGAAAAGTTATATACACTTGTTTTCTGAAGAGTTTGCGCAATAAAATGATGACAGTAACAAATGTGATATTAGCTGATAATAATAATAATAATAATAATAGTAATAATAATACATCCGCAGTAATATAATAGTACGCATAATCTCGCATAATTACAAATTACGAAGGAGGCAATCATTTATAAACGATGATATATTAAGTTACATTATATATTAATTTATAATTTGCAGATTCGCATTTAGAATTGCTAGAATATAGAAATAATAGAACTGCTAATTGTATTTCACGAAAACGAGCGCAAATGATTTCTCTCCATCTTTTTTCATGTCACAACTCATTTCTTTTTTCGTATTCTTCATACGAAATCGAAGATCGACTCACTTATTCGTAAAAGTAGAAAAAGAAATAAGTTTCTCCAAATATCAACGAATATTTCGACATATCAACAAAGTCGATATATTAAATAAACTGATAATCTCTACAATTTATTGCGAAGTCACTTATTATATCTTCTACTTTTCTCATGTTATTTAACCCCATACCGATATCTCTCGTTGTATCGATTGTAAAGATTCAACATAGATATGTACATTTGACGAAGCAGTGCCATTTCCGTAAATAGATGCAATACCATTTGGTGTGCGCCTTCTTTCAGCTGATTTCGAAGACATTTGTAAAATCGACAGAATGTGAATTCATAAAGAGTTAAAAAGCGATTCAAATCACCAGATATGTATATTTCATATAATGAAACAAACTACGGACACTTAATATGTTTCAGTTTGCGCACCTTTTGTTGATCTGCAAACTTTTCGTCATAGCTACCTCTTACGCACAAGATTATTTCGTGCAACGTGTAGAATGCGATATATATTCCTTTGTACGTATTCTGCGTGAATCCTAAATATTGTCACTCTCTCCATATCTTTTTCCTTATCTGTCCTTTTACTCCCGTAATTTCTTATATTATATATTCATAATTGAAAGTAATCGCTCCGTCAAATAATAATTTTTTACTCAACGGAAATTTTCTCTAAACACGCCAGCTGTTAAATTAATATAATTCGTAAAGTACGTATATGTATGCAAGAAATATTCTGATAACGTATTTTTAATTTTTCGATATTGAGCGTTTAACAAAATTAATACGTACGTATATAAAATGCGATATATTTTGTAGAAAAGGAATTGGCATGAATAATGGAAAATTTAAAAAATTGCAAATGTACGTAATAGTTTAGTTACCTGGAAACAATACAAAATAAAAGATCTCCTCTAGATAAAATATTTTTAATTTTTCGGGATACTTCTTCGGCTGCTTTTTACTTGAACCATGTTTCTCATTTTTACTCTGTCATTTTTTAATGACTAATGTGGTCTCATCGTAGTATAAATTGACAGTTGTAACATATATATATATATTTATATGTGTGCATCTATGTGGATATACTTAGTTTTAAGAAAAGAGAATAAAATTTACATTATTTCCGAAAATATTATAAATATATTCTTGCAGCATCATTAACGTCAACCACAAGGCACTTTCAAGGCCTTTATTGCTATATCGACAGGATAACGATTGCAAAGAAAGCAGTGAGTAAATTAGGAAGAAAAGAATGTGTCATTCATTCTAGCAACAGGACCGTCCGTAAAATATGCGTTGCAAATGTCGAAAAATTTTATTGAAAAGAATATTTTTCAAATATAAAAGTAAAACTTTATTATTTTTATAACATTCGTAACTGAGAAATATAAAAAGATCTCACTGAAACTTTCCAGTACCTTTGTCAATTTTCGCAACTGCCGTGATTTTAATCAGGTTCTTTAGATAATACCGAAAATATAGTTTCTCTTCTTAATTACGTCATATCTGTAGCATACTTGTACACTGCATAAAAAATTAGTGAGTTCGCTTTAGCATATATTATGTCGCTCATAGAATATATGTATATCGAGAGGCATTGACTGCATCTGATACCGTGAAGTAAACTATTAGATACGAGAGTTTGTGTACATTTGAAATTAAGGCAAACAGACGTGTATGAGACATCGCTAGCGGTGTCCGGTTTTACGCGAGTGATAATGTTAGCTTAACGCTAACAGCTGTATATTCATTATTCTATTTGAGTCGCAATAGCTACGGTTTCCGTTACACAACGTTCAGTATTCAGACCGTGTTTCAGGCGCTGAAAACGGACGATACATTTCGCATAACTCAAACAAGGCGTAGAGACGCTTTCTTTCAAAAAAATAAAATAAAAATTAACAAAACGGACATACATATATATTTAATTTCAATAATATCGTGTGTACACAGAAGTGAACTGAAATTATGCAAATTCTCAATTTTCTAGAGTCGAAAAGAGTAGGACTCTCTTCAGTGCCCTTATCTCGCCTGATTTCCATCTACGATATGTTTCATCACAGTTTTGTGCATAATACAAATATAATAATGCAATAATAATTATACAAAACAATGATCCATGCATTAGATATTTTTACAACACAGCGTGTGACAATATGCTGACAACTAAATGAAAGCTTCGTGAGATAAATAAGAAAGTGGCGCTACATCTTACTAAAAGCAGTTTAGTAAGGTATAGCCATGTTTCGTGAAGTTCTCAAACAAAAGAGTCACAGTTCGATCGAAACATTTTTTTTTAAGCTTACGTAAACCCGTCGAATGAACTCTTTCAATTCCTTAAATAAGTGTGCTCTAAATTAAAGCTAATGTACACGATTTTAATTGTCAATGTTAAAAGTCAACGTGCCCGATCACCGATCTGATCGGAAATCGCACGTGAAACGATATTACATTACTCTATTATATTTAATCTCTAATAAATTATTTACATCTTCCTAACGCACTCGGGTGGGTATTAACTATTAGTAAGCAACAATGATCTCCTTGTCGCGCACAGCAATAAAGTTTTTTGCCGATTGCGTTACGACAGCTCCGAACGAAAGTGTTACAATCTCTCTCAAAGAGAATAAAACGAAACGTTGTCAATTTCAAAATATCAATTCTTTTTGCGAATATGTAAAGTATGAATTATCAGAAGAATAAAATATATATGTATATAGTAATTTACATTTTTGCTTTTATATATATATATATATTTATTTATTTATTTATTTATTTATTTATTTCATCTGTTATTCTAAATTAAAGATTCGATGTCTAATTGGAGCTACATCTCAATAGCAATCATTTTATCATTTTTTTTATTGTCTTATACTCTTTTATAAATTATAACAATTTTCTTTCGTTTAACACTTGCGTTCAGAATTATACATATGTACAAACTCTCTACTTCTTGCCTAGGAGCAGCAATAGGCCCAATAATACATTTTAAAATACTAGATTTCCAGCATTGCGTCTAGCTGATGTCTGCCTCTACAAATGAGCGAATTTTATACATGTATTCACTTCTCGCACGCGATATACTAAATCCTATTATCCAATGGATAACTGATATGGAATTAATTGACTGTGCAGTCCGTTATGATACGTGTGTTTCAAAGTAAAAATTGAAAAACCTCCAAATGCGAATTGATTCCCTATGTGATATATGTATTGCTAAGTTCGTAACTTCGAGATTCCTTCACGCTGATATGTCCAAAATTCACCGCCAGCACTGACAGTCTATAATTTACGTTACGTGCACTATAGATTTTTCAACACTGGCAATCAATTTTGGAATATGTGTTTTGTTTTAATAAAAAAAAATCTGTACAGTATTAACATGATGATAATAATAATAATAATAATAATAATTATAACTTTTGGAAGATCTTCTTCCAGAAATACTTGTGCATGCCTTATGTTCGTATTGTAATTAAAATAATAAAGCTAAACTTCAACGAATTAAACGAAATTAGTGATTTCACTTGACAAAAAGATGTGAATCTATAAGAGCTTCGATGAATGTGTGCAAGTAAATGTAGAAAACAGATTGCTTAAAATATATTCACTGGAGAAGAATAATAATCCCCTCATAGATTGAATATCACTTAACAGGTAATATAAACATTTAAAGACCGACATATCGATTTTCTAAAAATTGTGACTCAAAAAGTTCAAAGAGGGACGTGTATCGTGTGATATGTAAGATATGCAAGGTTCATAATTTAAAGGCCATTTAGATATTTGTGTATTTGAAACACGATTTCGCTGAGATAACTAACATATTAACGGTTTCTCACTTCTAACAAAAAAGGGAAATGTTCTCCTCTAATTTTGACGAGCTTTAAATATGTTATTTTCTAGACAAAAATAAGGATTAGGTTTCTCTATATTCATGCTCTTTCGCACTTTTAAGGGATAATCAATTTTTTTCTAAAAAATGTTTTACCTCTTAAAAGTGCGGAGAAACACGAGCATAGGAAAATCTTATCCTTATTTTTATCTAGAAAATGATATATTCAAAACTCATCAAAATCAGAGGAGGACACTTAGGTCCCTTTCCTATAAGACTCACTGGATCTCTCTAACAAGATTCATTGAATTTTTCTATTTCTTCTTACTATTTTGTAAATATAGAAAATAAACACTTTCCCTTTCCTTTTATTAACGATAAAATTTGTAGAATGTCATCTATTATAAGAATCCAGGATTGCATAAATGTGTGCTATCGTAAAGCCTACATCAGACAGCGCATCGGAGATTGAGGATTGCGGGTTGGAGATTAAAGTTTAATCAGTCAAAACAAAACGGATTAAAATTAAATTTATCTGACTGATTGAATTCTAATTTTCATTTCGCAATCCTCGATCTCTAATGCGTGGTCCGACACGAGCTTAATAGAAACGATTGCACTGAAACTACGTAGTAATGATCGTACCGTATTACTCGACAGCGAAGCCACAGGTTTCTTCAACCGCCTGCGTGAGTTTGTCAAGCATCTTTTGATAGGTCGGATAATTTTGCGGTATGTCTATTCTATTGAAACAGGTATGCGCTTTCGGTAGATTTTCGCTTGGGGCGTCAACGGCGTGGATCGTGAAGAGCCGTGGACCCGCCGCTCCCGTCGACCCTGCGCAATCAAACGTAATACACAATTGTTATCTACGCGCTGTATTTTTAATCCATAGAGTACTATTGGATTCGTATCAATTGTAATTAGTTGTAACAATTTTTATACAATTTTTTTTTAATACACAACCTGTAATGTTCGTAATTAGTTATAACAATTTTTATACAGTTTTTTTTTAATACACAACCTTATAAACAATTTTGAAATAAGTATGTTAAAGACGTTAAAGTTACATAAGAATCACTTAATAATTTTTTTTATATATTTGTGATGAAAATTAACTGCACGAAGAGAATTTTATTTTACCCTAAAAATCATATTAATCGTAGGACATTAGTTTTCGACTAATTTTACGTAATTTTCACTATTTTTTTAAATATATACTACAACAAATTTATTGTAGTGCACAGTAAAGAAACAAAGAAAATCACATAAAATTTGTCAAAATACTATGTTATCTCCTTTGACTATATAAATAATAACTTATATAGTCAAAGGTTGTCTCGCGATTAACATGATTTTCAGGATAAATTTTAAAAGGAAATTCTCTCCTTGTATGAACGACCCGTCGTGTGTGTAGGAAAATCATTGGGTTAACGCAATGCGTCTGAATATATAAATGAGCATTTACCTTGCAAAGCCTTGAATCCTTGTAACGGGACTCTGGAGCTGCCGGTAACGAATTGAAGCAACCTCGCCCTCATCTCTTCACCGTACGACTCCACTATCTGCCAGAACCATTGCACGACCGGCGTGTCGGGCGTGCAGTGCTTAAGCCGGGTGTGCATCTTCCAGTCGTTTATGTCGATGGTGCCCAAGCCGCCAATAACCAACTCCAGTTCGCGCTCGTCGAACGGTCGTAGTAGCAGCGGAGGTATCAATTCGTGAAATCCTTTCTGCAACGCCAAGAACTGCTGCTCGATACCGCGCATAAATCGATAGTTCACGTACAGGCGGACGTATTCCCTCTTGTTTTCCTCCGTCACCGGAATGTCTTTGCCGCCCGGCTTCAGCTCGTGGTTCTTCAACACGCCGAAACTGCTGTGCTCCACGGAAAAGGTAGCATCCAGCACGCCGTCTATACTATTTTCCCTGATAAGCGTGAAATAAAGTAAATTAAAAATATTCTCCCGAATTATCTCTGGTGAAGCAATACGAATCGGATATTGACGGTTTCTTTATAAAAAAAAAAAAAACATGTCACTTACAGCATCCACGTAAGGCTTCTGTGCAGTTCTGGATCGACTCCCTCTATATCGCTCAAGGTTATAGCCTTGTTAAGCAACATCTTGTAGAACGGAGTTGTGAAACCGCCGTCAACGTGGTGACCGTGAAACACGGCGATGCCTATGATCCGTCCGGCAAAGTGGAAATACGACAAGTGTTCCGGGTTTATGCCCGAATCCGGGTTAATCTGAAGCGTGTAGTTATCATCTCTCGAATACTGAAAGAGTCCGTATTGCGGATTCAGCATCTCGTGAGATAATAAATACAACCACTCGCGCGCGACGCCGCCGTAGTCAAGGCCTTCCTCGCCGCGGAATTTGACCATGAGCCTTTTGCGCATATCTTTCGGGCGCATCTTCATTATCAATCTGTACGATTCCTGTGAGAAACGAGGCTATTGCTTATAGACCTGCAGGTATTGCTCGTGAAACGAATAACGTTCGAACGTTAGAATAATTTAAAATAAAAAGGTGGACATTTAAAAATTGTGCGAGTGGATAATAAAAATTTCCTTACTTCGAATATTTCGTTTCTCGACACCTCCAACCTGCAGTGTCCGCTCTGAGGCTGAAGAGCGTTCAGTTCCGCACGAAGGCACTTCAACTTCGCCACTAGGTCACGCTTGTATTTCGGTAGGAGCTCATTGTCCATGAGCTCCTTCGGCAGCTCCGACACCGTTTGAGCATTTTGGGACGGCGCGCTCTCCACTGAAATGCAAAGAAACGCCTGTTACGCCGATCGCACTATCCGCACGTATACCCACCGGATTATTAAGGAATCCCGATTTTTACGATAATGCGCCCTGATGAACAAGACCCTCCCGAAGTGAAATGGCATTCTGCCCGAGCGACAAAACAACCAAGACTGATTAACAGTCAGGCAACTTCGTTGCATAGATAGACGCGCTCGCAGATAAGATAAAATTGCGAGGCGCGTACACAAATGTTCTTCTTTTTGTTGTTTTTGTGTGAAAATAAGTTGATTATGCGATCCATATTGTGCGAATGTTATCAAACATGTATGAGATGCGCGCAAGTAAAAGTCAAAGACGTAAGAGCACGTTTAACGAATTATTCTCGCGTCGTGAAACATATCTTTCCGCCTAATTCCTCCCAGAAAAAAACGTACGTTTCGAAATAAATCTCACTCACTCGTTGGCGAATTGTTGTTACTTCCGTTCTCATTTCTCGTCGGCTGCTGCGGCGTGTTGGGCTGCACCGTCGACAAATTCGTCGTATCCGCCTCGGCGGAGCTCTCGCTTGTCACCGAATTGTTCGCGTTAATCGCGGCTTGATTGTTCACGTTGTTATTTTGCCTCTTGCTGTCGGCAGAACACATTAATTTTTACACCCTTGCATAAATCGCACGTTCGTATAATCTTTCGACCAGCCGCTGTTATACTTACTTCAGCAGATTGCTTATTATTTGACTGGACAGCCTCGGGTCGGTGAACTGCGTGGTCCTGTTGTTGTGATCAACGAAATACACCCGGCCGCTCTGGGTCTGCCTCATCTCCCATCCGCTGGGAAGAGGGCCGAGCTCGTTCGTCAATTCGTTGGCCTGCAAGTCGCGCGGGATCCTCGGGTCGTGCCAGGTGGAGGATCCAGTTGGTACGTGATAGAAATATACTTGGCCCTGCTGGGTCTTCCTCATTTCTACGTGAGCGAACAGAACATTTTCGCTTGTATAATTACACGGAAAGAACGATTTTTGGTTGAAAGGTCTAAAAATTTTGCTAAAAACAGATCTGAAAATAATTTTTTTTTAAATCATCAAAATAATTTGTCAGAATGTTAAAACTGATGAGCATTGCTGTAAAAAACATTTCGATATTCTAGCAATCGTTCTAACTTTCGCACAAAATTATTTTGATTATCAAACAAAAATTATTTTCAGACCTGTGATTCAGCAAAAGTGTTCTTTCCGTGTACACCTCGCGCTTTCCCATAAACAATTTAATTAAATTACGTTGTAAATTTAAAAACAACGTCGATCGTACCGTAACCACGAGGTAGGTCCGGCGGCTGCGGCGGATCGGTTCGCCTGTCGCTACTCGACATGACGCTACTCCTGTTCCTGTTACTGCGATTAGGCCTTCGAATCTGACCGCCGCTATTGAGGCCACGTTCCACCCTCCCGTTCGCCGGGTTTTGATTGCCGTTTTGCTCGTCGACACCCCTGACGACACGCCGCTCCCTCAACGACGATGCCGTCACGTTTCTCATCGCGTTGTGCTGATTCTGCTGCTGATTGCGATTCTGCTGCTGCTGCGTCGGTGTGTTTCTCGGGGTGTTCTGCGTCGAATTATCACGGCTGGGCGTCTGACTCAGAGTGTTGTCCCCGCCGGTCCACTCGGGCGACGTGTGCCCCGCGGGACTCCCCTCGTTTCTTACGTTCGGCGAGCTCGCGCTACTGCTAGGGGATGTAGGCTCCGACGACGACAGCGGCGGTGGTTCCGGAGTCGTCGGTATAATAGCATTGTTAGGTCTGTCAATGATATTAAAGTAGAAATAAATTCACGTCGTCACATTGCACTTTGGCGTGAGGATAGAACAACAAGTGTATTACTTACCGAGCATTCGGACGGATCCATTGCGTACTCTTCGTGTGATGATTTACGTAGTAAAGTCGACCGCTTTCCGTTCTCCTTTCCTCCCAACCGTCCGGCAGATCATTCGGGCAGCTCAGATCACCGAGCACGTCGACCACGGCGTTGTGGCCGACTGTATTACTCACGGCGCCGTTGTGGCCATCCCGCGACATCAAAGATACCACGATTTGTCCTTTCACAACGTCCGTGTCATCGGAATGAGCTTTGCATAAGTCCAAACGTTGATCTGAAAGTACACGTACATATCGCTTATTAATCTTTATAAAATGTAATTACGATGTATATCGATAATTTAAAATTAATACATATTAAGAAATATGCTTCTTATATAAGTAGCAGATTTTGTATTTAAAGTGGAAGATCTACTTTGAAGCGCTCATTAAATCTAAACGTGATATGCTTCTTATATAAGTAGCAGATTTTGTATTTAAAGTGGAAGATCTACTTTGAAGCGCTCATTAAATCTAAACGTTATTATCGCAGCTAATAATTAACTTCATCGTAGCTGAAGGTCTATATTTTTTTATTACAATAAAAAGAGGAAACATTCATTTGATTTTTTTGTGCCGGCCATTTTAAAAACCAATAAGTTTGTTAATACTTGAAATTTTAACATAATTTAATTAAATATTCTAAAGGAATACTTTAAGAAAATGTAAAGAAATGATCTATTTTTACTCGTCAAAGTAGATTGCCCTTTAATTCAGATTTTAGCTTCAATTTCTCGCAAAATATAAACCGTATTTATTAGACACGAGATGCTATCTCGTGCTTTTTATCCTCTATCATGTTAAATCGATACTCGAATGCATCGAAGTGTTGTCAGGTCTTTTCCGCGACGCTGATTGGTTCTCTCGGTATGCGAACTTTGTGATCTATTAGGTAAGAGTAATATCTAATGATTTAAAAAACAAATACGTACATCCTGTGTCCTTGAGTCTTTGGATAGTATTCGATAATATGCGTACGCATCCCAAAAACCCTCCGTTCTGTTTCTTATGGAACTTTCTATAATTCCACACGGATATGGTGATTCCATCGTTCTTTCCGATATATCTGCGTGAATAAAGACAATAGTTACTTTCTTTCTTACGAGCCTGCACTAAATGTCTCTATACGTCTAGCCTAACAGAAATACTCACAAATCATAGTGTTGATTCCATTTAGGATCAAGGGTGGCTTTGCAGGTATCTGTACTGTGACACTGACCGGAACCTTCGACAGTTATTTTAGCAAAAGGATCGGGTAAACCTGAAAAAGATAATTATTTTTAAATCCCTATTTCGACATACTACACACTTTGTGGGGAAAAAAGTACTCACGAAATAAATCCTTTCTAGCGAGATTACGGGCGCATAAAACTAAAACATAAAATATTATCATTATGTAAATGTGTATTTTAGCGCGCAAACTAATGTTGCGATAAAAGAAAAACTTCTAGTCTTTTAATAAAATATTCTACTTTCGAGCTATCGATCCTACTAAATATTCTTTTAAAATAAGGTATTTATTAAGATCGATAGATTTTTTTCTATCGATAACGATACATCTATATGTAATTTAATTTTAATTCGTATACTAATTCTAAGTTTCACATTAATCAGTCTAATCAGAGAGGTCCTTTTCTTTCCTTCTTTCAAAAAAAGGTATGAAGTCGCGATTATTCGTATCTCTCGAAATTTATTGTTGTTTTTCGCGGTGCCGATTGGCTCTTACTTCGTGAGCGGCTGTTATCATATATTTTGACAGCTGCGCGCATCGAGAGATTAGTGTAATGTAAAACATAATTGCATTTAAGCATTGTATAGTAAAAAGTCAAGAATAAAAAGTTAAATAACGCGTGATGTCTAGTTATACAAAACAGTTCGATTATAATCTACAACTTCTACAGTATCTTCTGCTTATACCTAGCCATCTCGTATTTGTCATAATCTCTCAACTATTACTACAATTAATATAATTCTATCATACGGATTATCTTTGCTATTATGACGAAATCGAATCGAATTAAAATAAAGCGATGTTATAACTCATGTTAAATATCGTTAACAATGATCGAATAGCCTTTTTAAAGAATAAAAACCGGACATTAGTGATAAAACTAGCGAGAAAGATTAGATTAGCTTAAAAATGAGGAGCCTTATTAAGGAACATTGCGAGTGAATGACACATCAAGTGGTCTTCACGACCGTCCAGAATTAACGTTTTCATCGGTCCCCCGGAGTGAGAGTGCTCGCGGTGGGGCGCCTTCGCCGCGCTCGGCTTTCCTCGCCGAGGAAGCTGAGCGCGACCGGAGGGCGAGGAGAGCCACGACGGAGGAGGTCGCGTTCTCCACCTAGGGCGCGCGTTATATCCGCGATGTACTCCCGCGGACGTGTTGTTTGACGTTTGCGCGTCGCTCGTCGTGGTCCCCCCTCCCCCGCCGTGAGGGAGGGAATAACGCGTGTGCGAGGGCACACGCGTTGATTAACGCAAAAGAGAAGCGGGCCGTCGTGCGTGGGTGCGGGTGCCCCGGCCTCGTCGGGTGCGTGCGAGCCGCGGCCACGGCTCGGCACACGCGAGCGAGCCCCGACTTTCACGCTCGACGGCACGCACGGACGCCCCCCTCGAGGAAGAGAGACGGCGCCGCCGCAGACTCACTCGTCAGACGGATCTTCATGGCCCCGTTCCTCCTGCTACCGCCCGGGTTCGACATCCTGCACGCACATTTAACGCACCGCACCGCGCATCGGCGCCGTAATTGGCAAATGAAGCACGGGCTGATCTACCCTGCCTCGAGAGAACGCGCGACGGCGACGGTGTTGCACTGCTCGCCCGCACCACGCACACATAGACACGGGTACAATGCGAAAGCGCGTGCGAACGGTCTCTCGTCGAACGCACTATCGACTCGAAAAACGGCGGCCGGTCGATTCTCGCGAGTGCAGGCTTGCACGCGATCCCGTGGGCGTCTCGAGTCCACGTAACGTAATTTTAACTCCTTCACGTCACCGGGCGTAAATCGATGAACAGGGAATGTGAAATGTACTTTCAGACCGGAGGGGTAAGATTAAACAGAGGTGGTGAGAGAGGAAATTATTTATAGCAAATTTAATTGACCGCGGCCATTCTGGTTGCTTTGTTTCGATTCGATATATCGAACCAAGCGCCTGTTGGTTGCTCTGAAGTTGTATAATGTAACGACGCGCATGTTAGGAACTTCAACGCTTGGCTTCCCGCGCTAGAGAACATAACTAGATATATTTATTAGAAATCGAATGTGAAAGAATAATGTATATTTATTTTTTTTAATATTCCAAATTTAATCGTTTTGTCCTAAAAATATGAAATATATTTATTTAATCAATTTTAAAAAATGTAATTATTTTGAAAAAAACGCAAAGCATATAAAGAGCCTTCTTCTAATTTTGCTCAATTAATAAGATTAATTGAACCAGCTTAATTAATCTGATTTGATTTAATTAATAATAATTTGTTAAGAATTAGTAATTGTAAAATTTTTAATTATATAATTTGTTATATTGTTTGATATGTTATCAATAAGATAATCGGGATTTCATCATAATTGCCTTAATAAGATGATTAACCTTGTCAATAAATAATTCATCATCTCTAACTTTATTTTTCTTTCTGCATGTCAAATTACAATAAATTACAAAAAATTGACAATTTTATTTATTAAGAAAATTCTCAGGCAAGTATTTCACAAGTTAATCGCCGATTAAATTAATCAAAGTATGATTGAATCCAGTGAGAAATGATCATCAATTCGATGTCGAATTGATGTCGATATGATGATTTCGACATCAATTCGACATCGATTCGACATCGAATTGAAAACCATTTCTCACTGGGAAGTTACCCTGAGAATGCTTTTCCGAAATTTGTTTATGCAGAGACGCGAACGAAAGTTGCGTCACATAAAACTTCCGGTGTTTTAAATTATGTAACGCCGTATCTGGTTTGTATAACGCGATAACGAGTGAGCCGCTTGTAAATATTTTCGCATTTTTCAATCAACGCATCGAATGGAAAGAAGGAAGAGTGGGGGATACAGATAGTACGAAAAGGAATCCTCGAGCATCTCTTTTGTTCATAATTTTCCTTTATTGTTGAAGTCTTAGCGTAAAAACGTACAAATCAAAGATAAATATTTCGCGAATATACTCGTGAAAAGAGGGCGGACACAAGAAATTTATTTCAACGCCAAGATACAAAATCAAATGACGTCGTATATAAAAACGTGTCACGATGTTATCGTTCCTTTTCTTCTTGTTATCGCTTATACTTTGTCAAATCTCAGAATAGCATAACTTAAACTTACGAGTGCGATAATCAGTACATTATTAATGATTATGATACCAAAAACTGGCCTGCTTCTATACGAAGGGACTGCCGCTTATTTATATTAATTAACATATTATGTATATATATAATATATATATGTATATAAGTATAATATGCAAGTATATATCATTGTCATGTGATCATGCACGTTTTGTACTATCATCGGTTAGATACCATCACGAAGTCACATTTACAGTCTGTAAGCATGATTTAAACGGTCCAGAAATTTTTTTTTATTAATTAAGAGAAAGTGTATCTTGCGAATATCTTATATCTTGATTAAATTTCTGAAGTTTTTGTTTTTAAATCGGAATCCTAACAAGTTAAGTGAGAGTTAAAGAAACGTGGATTAATCCCGATGAAACGACGGGCACTTCGTGCGAAGTGCAAAACAAATGGCACAAGTCGTGAATTTCTGTCCTCGCTCTTCGCAATGCCAACCGCCCCGTGCACGAAACCACCTCGTCTAAAAATTTCATGGCTGAGCTCGGTTATCCGAGCCGTCGCCATTCGCGATTTGATTTATAGAGGAAAGCTTTGAAATTAATGTAAATTCTGCAGAAGAATGGCACGCTCTCTCGTGCCTGGCGTTCAACTATCGCTTTCGCTTGACGATCGCGTTTAAATATTTACGAAATATTTAGGAGGCTGCCGTTAATAATCAAGCCTTCAAGGCTACCGAAATTTTTCATGTGTAAGAATCGTGAGGATGAAGTTGCACCGCGGCTTATAAGTGCGATCGCAATTCAATTTGGCATTGAATTTCACGAAGCTTCGTAAATTCGTGCTTCGCATAATTCAGAGAAATCGGCGGAACTCCGCGACGCCGCGGCCGCCGCGCGTGCAATTCGCGTTCGCGTAGCACGCACCTGGCTAACCCGGCTGAAAAAGAAAGTTTCCTTCAGGGAACTTCTTTGGCAGTATTCAATCCTTTGCAGATTATAAGAAAGAAAAGATTTCCGCCGATCGCGGAATGTGATTAACACCGATTGCCGGCCGTGCAGTCCCCCGTGTTGTACTTTAAAAGCGACTCAGATCTCAATTCTCTCCCCGAAAAGTGAGGAACGCGTCCACGAGGAAAACGATGCCCTCGATAATGCTGAGTGAGCCTTTGGCCAAGCCGGTATCGCGGAACGCCGACTTGTGCACCAACTTCTGGAAGTAGTCGATGTTGAGCGAGCCCGCGGCGATGAACAAGGCGCATCCAACGAGCGAGAAGAAGAGATCCTAAGATATAAAAAATCGCATTTAGTAAATAGTGTACTATAACGTTTCATTAATTTTATAAAACATATTTTAATTTAGACATTACTGAATTAATTATGTAATCTGTTAGGTAGACGTACAAATACAAATCGAGAAATAATGTATCAAATTTTAAATAATTTCAACACAGTATCTTTAACTTTCTATAGTTCTCTTAGGTCTGCCATTGATTTTTGCGGTCTCGGGCTTTCTATATGTTTGTATTCCATTTATATATAATTATAATTGTATATATAAATGTGTACACATATATATTTATATATATAATTGTATATATAATTTATATTATATATATAATTTATATTAGGTCTGGTAGCATTAATGTAACTTGCAAGTATTAAGTATTAAAGTGTCAAAGTTATCAAATCTTTAATACAGTGTTTTAAACAAAAACAATTTAATTTTTTGTGTTTTTTAAACACAAAAATTATTTTAAATTGAACAATAATATATTCAAGCTCCGAGAAAAATAAAATTAATAAAATTTAAAATAAATAATTGTAATGGGCCAGAAGCCAAGGTCTTCGTGCTAATCCGCGCGCGCGTTATATTCATAAAAAATTACATTAATGCTACCAGACGATCGTTTCGGCTTTACATCAAGCTCTCTTCAGTGGTCTTTTATAAAATATTACATACATGTCGCTTTACCTTCGTGTGTTATAATACATACATTATTGTCAGATGCTATGTCTAATTATCACAGCGAATAATTAGACACAGCATCTGGCAATTATGTATGTAACATACAAAGGTGAACATGTACTTATGTAATATTTTATAAAAGACCAATGAATTTAATTAAACACAGCATCTGATAATTATGTATGTAACACAAACTGATACCTGAAAGAAGAAAGTAAGACGAGAAATGGAAGTTCGACTTACTAATTTGCCTTTTTTTAGGTAGGATATGAGATATATGTAAGAGATATATAAAAGTAATGAGATATTTAATTTGATATTTGTATTTAATTTGATATTTGCGCGCGCGCGCGCGCGCGTGTGTGTGTGTGTGTGTGTGTGTGTGTGTGTTATGTTTCAGAGATAGTGAATAAATGGCGCGCGCTTTGTTTTGTTCTAGTATAATATAAATTATACTAGAACAGTATAGAACTAGAACTATATAATATAAATTATAATTCTATATATTATATATACGTATATAATATATAGAATTATATATATAATTAGTATATAACATTCTATTACAATTCCTACATTTTTTATGCAAAATCTAGCTCGCAATATTTGCTGAAACATACCACGCGGCGGTTCACCGGCGTTCCCATCACGCTTCCGATAAACAGGCCGACCAGAATAATCAGGTATCCCCCAAAGGTACCCATGGTTATCATCGCGGTATGCTGATCTCCGGCATTGAAGGAGTTGTAGTGCAATCCGATGAGGATGCACACCAAGATCTGTGATCAGAAATAAATCTTTAATAAAAATTCTTCTTACAATTGGATCACGTATCAAATTATCGCCTTTTTCTTTTTATCAAGAACAAATGTCTATCAGAAATGAAGCTTTATCATACTCTCAATTATCTTCTGCTTTTATTATGCATACACGAAAACTATAGCAGTCTTTTTTTTTATTACAAAGCAAACTTATAAATATCGGCCTACGAAACTGGGTCGATCCGGCAAGAGTACGTCGGCTCTCTTTCGATTCCATCATAAATAAAATATTGTCCACTACTGTCCTAGTTGGTAAGTTTTTATTTCTAGACAATGGATCATAAATGTGATCACTCGGTATAGTCCGTCGGATTATTAACAGTAAGTAAGCGTAAAAGTAGCATCTACTTCGAGTATGTCATTATATCTATACAAAGAAAGCGCCCGCGGTCGATGAATAGATATTAAAAAGGCTGATTGAGCCAAAGAAAATCTCAAAAATTTATGGAGCGTCTGTAATTATATAAAAGCAATATATACATATATAATTTTCTTTTATTCAGTAAAAAAAGGAATTTATATTTATTTCTAATATGTAGAATATTTTTTACCATAATATTTAATAATGTAAGAAATTGAATAACAAGACAGATTATCTCGATCTTTGGCTATAACTGACAAACAACGGAGGCTGAAAATAGGAAAACTCTAGCGAGGAATGTAGAATAAATTTCTGGGCGTTTTATTTCGCAATTACATAATTTTCATCTCGAAGTCATTCATGGCGTCAACATTAAAATTGCACCGGTCGGCCTTGATGCGATGAACACATTCGCCATGACGCCGAATACAGGGTATCTCGAAGAGTCTCGGGCTTGGTCACCCACGTGTGCGTCGATAAGCGCACGATACGCGCGGCGCATTTACTAAAGCATTCGTCACTTGTGAGGAGTGCCATTATATGTACATATATGTATTAGCAATATAAATAATCGAGTATCAAAATCAGCGCTCAATAGCAATCTATACATTTATCTACACATTTTGGTCAGTATATTAATCATATTCAATGCATGCATGCATATATTTGTACGGTAATTTTTTATTTTATGCAAAACAGGCGTCATCATTATCTTTTGTATTTATTCAACATAACATTTATTACTTCGACGTTACGCTTTTCGCTTACAAATTAATGCAAATATATTGTTACATGGCTCATTAACAAGCAAACTAAGATATTTTAAGTTCTGTTTAGCTGAAAAATTGTGTTGCGAAATAATTACACATCGTTAAACTTTTTACCAAGAGACTCGAACAAAAGAAAGGAGCTAAAATTATATTTAGGAAACATCAGGCGAAGTTAAAATATCGCGGGCGTTACGTTAAGAGTCAGCGTTAATTTGTAAACAAAGCTAGATAAATATGTGTGTTCAGCAAGATAAATGTTTTAACGGGACAGCTGTTTTTGAAAACTTTGTTGATCTGATTAATAATGCTTTCTATCGCTTGACGTGTTTATTTTGACTATTTTGTTTACTTTTAATATTATTATATATATCAAAAAGATATATTGATGCAAAAAAATTAATTAATAATAACATAACAATTAATGCGGGAAAAAATATACCCATTTCAGTGCGATTATCGAAACTTGGCATCGAGCTAGCAATTTTCCATCGCTCAACAATGCAGGGGAGATGCTTACAAAGGCGCGGGCTTCTCACGGCACGTAGGCCCCGAAGAATCCTAACGGAAGCCACTCGTACCGATCGACTTCCGGGCGGCTTGAAGCGAACCGTAATAAGAAGAGAGGGAACGCTCTTGTGCGGTAATCAGCGCCGATTATGTCACTCTCCATTCTCGCCGCCTTACGAATCGCGAAAGATATGCAGCGCACGCGGAATGTCGCGCGGCCAACAATGCCGGCTTTGAGGCGTAAGATATACCGTCGATTTTCCCGATCGCGGGAGCGCGATCGAAATCGTGACGAACGCAAGAAATTGGATCGATGGATCGGAAGAAACAGCGCAGTGATGTTAAAAATAAATTCGAGGGCATGGTGGTGCTCTTAAAGGAGCATAAGTCGACCTCGAGGATAGTGTTTCTCTCGCGGCTGGAAATACGTGCCGCGAGAAACGCTGGATAGGCGTTTTAATTTAAACTTTAAAGCTCAGCTTCCACTTTCTCAAAAATCTAGTTTTCTGAAAAATTTCGCGTCTTAAGAATAAAAGTGCAATTCCTTAGAATGCAATCTACTCTTCTAATTTACAAAAATAATGTACGCGCGCGTTTCCGATTATGTTAATTAACGTTTTGTAACGTGACATCACGCGAGTTTATGCGTTGAAAACCTGATTTACCACGATCATAATTTTTCGCTTACAATGCTGCATAATCTGTACTTCTTGGAATGACTACATAATAGAGTTTATAATTTATTTGTAATTTATCATTTAAATGCGCGAATGTATTAATTCTCGCACTTATTCACGAAGAAGTGAAGTACGAATAAAGTTATACTATGCCGTTGAAATTGAATCAACTTCAGCTAACAATTCAATGTTGTAAATAATGAAAGATATATAGGCAGGTGTTCATAGTTAATTCTTATTTCAAGATCGTAAGTAATGTCTTAAGATGCTAATACGATTCTGTAATTAATTTATGACGTCTTAAGACGGTCTTAAATATTAGAATTGACTATAAATATATCGATCATAATTATGTATAGATTACTTATAGAGAAAGAATTTTATTATTATTTCTCGGAAATGTTGCACTTTATTAATATTGATAAAAATATGATCTATTTAAATAATTAAAAAGATAAAAATAATTCACATATTTTTGTGACTGGTTTCTATATAAAATCAACTAAAAACAAATTCTACAAATGCAAAAAATAATACTCTTGATACAATTTTCTTTTGCAAATTGTGTAGTATTAATAATATTTAATTGATTATTGTTAATATTAGATTGTTTTACACATTTGTAATTTCCCAAAACTCTTTTTATTTATATTTTTCTCTTTCTTATTTTTTCCGGTATTTTTTTTTACCTCGTTTTTCAGAGATTCATTTTGGCTTATCTTATGACAATGTTAAATATTGCAAAATTCCAAACAAGATTATAAAAACATTGATGTACTATAGAATCTACTATCTGATAGAAGGTACTTTTTAATTTTATTTAGTGTTTATTTAGTATTTATGTTTTCAAAGTTTTATTTTTAGCTCTTATTTAAAAAATCCAAAAACAAAGTGATATAACAAAGTGGAATCTCTTCCTCTACTTATATATTTATTAATATACTTACAAGCTCAAGGAATTTTATGATTGTCAGCCTCGTGATGGTAGCCATTTCGTCTGATCTGCAAGTAGGGAAGAAATAATATAAAAATCTCGATTTAATCGTACATATCATTCATTGCAATTGGTAATAAAAATGTAATAAGAATGCGCGTTCGCTTGTGAAAAAAAAACATTGTGCCTATAGATTTATAAAACTACCCGATGCATTACAATTACGATTACGTGTCCATTTATGGGCACCGAAAATGCGTCGTAAATATGACTATAAGCGCAGAATGTAAGTCGCATGAAAGCGTAATGAGCGGTGAAGAGAAACGGAGCCGCGACAATCGATATAATCGTGCTACAGTCATATAAATGAAACCGGAAATGCATGGTGTTAAAGTAATACATGCCTCTTTTACCCGCGAAGACATAAACATATCGTAAAAGACTAATGCACCATTCGAGACGTATGACTAATGCATACGTCTGATAAAAGTATCGCGAAACGCAACTACTTTGCGACTGTGCATATATAAATATATACGTGCGTAATTGTCAGTCGGGTAACGCTAGATCCGCAGACCGAATTCTTTTTTGCTTATATCCGCTGCGAAACTGTAATAAGCGCGCAGTGTTTATTTTCTTTCTCATTTCAATGGGAAAAAGAATATCATTTATCACACGCCCGAAAATTCTCCTTGTAATTAGCAATATCGAGAATTTAATGATCTTAATTTGTATTTTATATCAGAAGGCGAAAGACACGCGGCGTTACAACAAATTACGCGCTCGTACAGTCTGTATACGATGACATGTCGTGACAACGGTGACCTTAATATATCGTGACATTTATTGCTATTTTAATGACCGCAAGTCTAAATTCGACTCTTTGATCATTTCCGCGGGGTCCTCGTGTGTGCGTTGACATTTTTATGTATTTCACTCGCCTTCTCATGCAGAAATTATTCGCAGCAAAATTCGACGCTGTTTCTTCGCGTGAAAATATTATGTGTGCGCTTTATTGAAATTAAAAATTAATAAATATACATATATACATATATATGCACGGTGCACTGTAAAAGTTATTTTTATCAATAATACGGCTTGTTGAACACGCAAAGCCATCGGATCGCAAGTAACACGAAATCGAGGCACCGAAACTTGATAACAACCAACCACCATGCTATATTTAGATCCATACATCGTAACTCCCTGGAGCCCAACGTTACGGCGTTCGGAACTCCGTAAACTTTTCACACAGGGGGGGAAAATGAGAACGCGTAAACACGCTCATGTGATATAATTATACCTACATCAAATCGTAATGATCGTAATTTCGAAAATATCAATATGGCGCGTCAATAGAGTTTCGGGAAATATATTGCTCAGCGGCAAGTCAGTTTGCCGTAGGCAAATATTGTGCATGCTAGATTGCACCAATACAAACTTTACGTCATCTCTCGTTGGATGACTCGAGCGGGTCGGCATGTATGATGACCGTGACATACCCAAGATGGGTAGAATGCAACAAATCTAGAAATAGCGCAATATATGTGTGTGTGTGTGTGTGTGTGTGTGTGTTCTGCATGCTTATATCGTCAATGGATAAGAAGCATTTGTTAATCAGTGATTAAACATTGCAATGAATTGTTGTTTGAATCATCGAACTTGATATAACCACATTTTCAATGAATCATTTTTGCGATTATCGCGTTAATTGTAAGAGAAAATGTTAATAATTCCTTCAACAGAAATTGATATATGTACGAAAGAATAGATAGATGCCGGGTTTTATATATTTCATACAATTTTATTTTATGGTCTTATCAATCTTCTGTAAAAGGCTCATAAACCATAAATAATTGAATACACTCGTACTTTATTTAACATTAAAAGGCATTTATCTTAAAAAAACATTTAGAAATATGGATTTAGAAATTATTTTCAGAGAATAAATCTAAAAATAATTAACCGTAAAAATAATAAGAAAATATTAATATATATAGAAACAATTAATAAATTTAATAAAATTAAATGTTAGTAATTAATAAAATATTTAGTACAGTTTGTTTGTGGACGGTGACGCGCCGAAATAGGCTTAGATCATTTAGAATGCTTGCAAATTTTCTGCGGCAATTATCTCGAAAATCTGATATGAGTAACAAGATCTTGTTATTATTCGCAATAACCTGCGATTTCAAATGAGTAGGCGACGTAAATTAAACGTTGAGGTAAATCGCGGTCATGTAACGCATTTTTTACACCGAAAAGGAAGACACTTTCACGATGCCCGCCACTGCCTTGACTCCATTTTTATAATTTCTTTCAGACTCTTTCCCTTTTGAGACTACGCTTTTTTCAAAAATTGAACGGCAATATGCATAAATGGTTAAAGAAATACTTACAAAAATAATGAAAATAAATTGTGAAATTACTAGAGAAGAAATCTCAATATTTGTATTATCGTAATAATTTTAAATAAATATTTTATACTTCTTATATTTCTAACGTAATATATCGCTAATGATCATTTTGTGACACACAAATAATCATATTACAAACTTAAGAAACGAAATTATGTATATAAAGTACTCCAAAACTTGTAAATTTATATTTTCATAAAACACAATATGATATTATCTTATATCTCTTTATTAAAGTTTATATATTGATCTATTCTTATATTCTGCAACTAATATTGATTAAAAAATATTGTACTACGTATATACAAATGCGATATATTCGAAGTTCACTTATTTTTATTTTTTCGGAAATTGCATCATTTAGAAGATAATAAAAATGTGTCATAGAAATATCATTTTGTATCACTCGCGTTATTTGATAAATAAAAAAAAGTTGACGTTTTATTTAAGCAAATTATATCTCTCAACAATATTTATAAATAAATATATTTATTATAAATTATATATATTTAATTTATATATATATACCTATATGTATATACAAAAAATATGTACATTTATTTAAGATTCTCTCTTTAAAATACTTTCAGAAATTAAAATTCAATATTTAATTTTTACAATAAACAAACGATGTCTATCCGCAAAATAAGCCGTGATATTCGTTTATATACAACGGAGCAACGCGTCTCTCGCGTCTTATTCTAATATCTCACTCCAACCGGTCAAGGCTAGTCGGCCCACAAACCAGCACACACAAAAGAACAGCACGGACAAAGGGCTCGGGGCAGGCGTTGGGCGCGTCTTAAACCGACGCTTAAACCGATGTTAGCGTTTCCCGTGAAATTTTCAATTTGCAAAAAAAAAAAATAAACAAACGTGAAAGACGACTTCCAAGTTCCATTCATTCACGCGTCACGGGCGTGTTCGGCGTCGTGCGTAGAGCGTACTTACGTGTGTTCACGCTTTCGATTCGCCGAGACGGTCGTAGCTGCTCGCGAGACGAGGGTTCAACGACGACTGATGCTGAAGACCGACCACGCATTGTGCAGGCGCGTCAGTTAGCCTCGATTTTTACGATCGACGGAAACGCGCCGACTTTTACATCACGGTGTTCACGCATCGGGGCGAGCACAGACGCTACGGTCCAGTGGCGCTCATTTTGGCCGTGAATCCGCTTGACGAATGTTGCCATAAGCGGACGTTTTGTCACGGTTTTTAATGTAGAACGAAATTAAAATGCGATTAGCAAGACGATACGTGGTCGACAAAATGGCAAAGTCGCGTGCGGCAAAGGCGTAAAGACGCACCCAAGCCGTAGAATTTACTACGCGTCCTTTGAGAAAACGTGCTTCATCCATTTTTCGTAAACGATGTTTATTTGAAGTGTAATTAATTTCAGTTAATATTTTTATATGAAAGAAAAGATTAAGAAGGATTAATAGGAGATAGGTGGGGAATTTCTTTATAGGTTAAAGAGGATTAAATATAGATATAATCACAAATATATTTTTATAACGATATCTTCTTGTTACAAAAATTCTTCAAATTACATTAAAATAATTAACTTTAACATACTCAATAATTATTAATAAAAACACATACATATGTTCAAAATATCTTCAAATTATATATTTATAACATTTTTCTAGAGTTTTTATTTTGGCAATTATTTTTTTGCGTCAAGTTTACATTTCTATCAATTACAAAAAAATTTAATATGTCAGATTAATATCACCAATTAATTTCATCGTATCTTGTATTTAAAATGCCTGCACTGTTTACGGCGTTTAAGCAAATAATTATGAATCTGTGTATTAATTAGTTTAAAAATAGTACATTGTTATTTGGTCAGCTGCCGGACTTTTAAATTGACGATTTATTTCATCTCGTTTTATCGCAGACAAGAAAATGCCATTTGGTGATTGCTTGCTTTTTTGCAATGATGTAATGACGAGATATCATCTGTGAAATAAAGAATCCTAGGAATAGGGTAGTGACTCGAAGATTACGTCGATCCTACGCCTCGAACGTGACATCATCACATATCGGTTGCTACGCGATGACGTATTAATTCAGAAATAAAAAATATGAAAAGTGATGCGAAGCTGATACGAATTTTGTTTACGAATAACTTCCGATGTATTACAAAAGAAATTCTCTTACTTTGATTTTTTAATTAACGTCAAATATTTTATAAAATTAAACATTTAATTAAAATTTTATTAAAAAAACAAGGAACTCAAGTGAACATACAATTTTTTGATCTCACAATAATTTCAATCCCAAGGGCAATCGATAATTTCATAAATCAACTCGGCGTTGTTGCGCGAAGAACCTCAAAATTCAATGTATAGAGGTTTCCTTTTGCAAGTCAACAAATCGTTGCGTAAACCACAGGCGTGCATAACGAGATTCATATGCGTTGCCCGATATACAGAGAGCACGCGCATTCTTTAACATCGTATTATCCCACGTGCGAAGGATACGTCGTGGAGCAGCCTCTCGAAATACCCCATGTGCTTGTGCCTGTTTAGAGTCTCTATCCCGCACACAAGTGTCCGACTCGCGTTACATTTTCGCTCTGTCTTTATTTCCGCCGCAGCTCTTCCACACCCACCCACCCACACACACACACCCACACAAACGTAAAAATACACACACGCGCGCGCGCGCGCGCGCGCGTGTGTACGCTGCCAGCAAATTACCCACGACCGTTCGCGTTCGCATTCACGTTCGCGTTCATTAGCCTCCTTTCGCCGGTTACTTTGCGATACAACACGCGTTTTCGCCGAGTCCTCGCGAGAGATCGAGACATGCCCGCCCGTGGATTTCGATATAAAGGAGCCTCTTATTAGGATTGGGCGTAGCTTACAAATGTCTGCAATTAAATTTATGTTAAATGATTATTATTAAATAAGATAAAATAATACAAGGAACATTATGAAGTCTTTCGCGGAATTCAATGATCCATTATCTCTCCTTGTAAAAATATATTCTTTATTGTATGTTAAGAAAACAAATTTGTAATTAATATAAATGTGACTAAAAATAAACACACGTTACTGAAATAATAATTAATAATTGAGGTGGTAATATCATTGATTTCTTTAGGTAGATTCGATCACTCGGAAATATTTTCACAAGCGTGTATAAGTTGTTCTTCATTGATGTGAGTCATTTCCGCGAAATTTTCTTATACTGAATATTGACATCATAAAACATCATCATAATTCCATGAAAATAATCACATTATTAATGTACAGTTCTAAATATATCACGTAATTGTATGTACAAAATATTTTAAATGTAAAGATTTGTTAAAAAGATATATAAAAGAAATGTTTACGACATGAATATATTTTTGTCATTATTGTTGTTTGTCTTTGTTAATTATTTATATTTTATCAAATTAGATAAAATAAAAATTTTAAATATATAATTAATAGCAAAATTGTCGTTAATGATATTAATTACCTGAGCAAATATCGAAGAAATATGTTTAATTTATAAACAATTTGAGCTTGTATAAATTAGCTGTTTTATTCGCAGAGCTGAATGGCTTCACTAGCTAACATTTCAGAGCCTCTCAAGATGGCGTAAGAAATGCTCGTTTAACGATTTCAGAAGAGTAACGACGAGAGAAAGCAAGGCACATTGCCTTGTTGGTACATACCAACAATCGTTATTCTTAATATATTGAATTAATTAATTAACGATTCTTATTTTTTAAAATTCCAGACACGTCACATGACGTGAATTACTTGGAACTCGTGCTTTGGTTTACTTTTCATTTTTATTTTAACATAATTGCACCAGTCGACGAAGCAGCAATAAAGTATCGGTTCGTCATCCACGTCCTAAAGAGAAAATAAAAAATTTCCCGGTTTATTTCAAAATATAAAAATTACCAAGCTCTATCTCTCTTAGAAGAATCTTTTTCAGAATTTCTATCTTTTTGTATGTTAATATTTCTTTCAATGCACAAGCGTATTGTGTACATTTTCGCGGAAATTCTCCAAGTCAGAAAGTCGTTCTGCTGATCGTTCGATAACCTTAGAACTAGAACGGCCCAATGTCACGTGGGATTCTATAGACTGAAAATAGAATCCTTATCCCGCATCTGAACACGGAACGGTCCTTTTTTTCATTCAGCGCAGGAAGACATGGGCCTGTTTCAAGATCCAAGGCGTCGATAGAATTGTGAGTAAACGGTAAATTTCTCGGCGATCATTCTTACGGCGCTATCGGCGATCACAGTGAGGGCGGTCATCTCTTTCAAGGTAGGAATCGGTGCCAGTTCGCCAATCTGCCGTCGGGAATCGCATTCGCCGATCTCTCCTTCTGTTATGGAATGATCACTTTCGTCGGTGTCTGCACTAGAGTCGGAGCTTCGCGTTTCGTCCGATACACTTGTATCTTGCTCCTTTCGAATCTAAAACCGCAACCGTTTTGCGTTCCCTATTGATCTAATTAAGTAGTTCAAGAAAGATTTAAAAAAAAAAAATGCTGAAAAAAATTATTTAAACCATAGTCCTAATAAAAATAAAATTAATTATTGTTGAATCATTTGCCGTCTCAAATTCTCTGTGAAATTGTAGGTCATTATTCTTCCGAATTATTCAAGTCAGCAAATAATTGTGACTTACAATTTACGAAAATTTTTACGAAATGTCGCAAATAACGAAAATATATTATATAGATAATATAAATAAAACTTTAAACTAAACTAATAATTTTAAAAATAGATAAAATTTAAACTAAACTAATAATTTTGAAAGAAAGATATATATCTTAATATTTAATAATGAATAATTTGCTTATGCTCACGCACCCATTGCCATACGTCGAAAAGGAGCCACGCTTGAATCAGATACAGAATCATAACGAAGATCGACAGTATGCACATTACGAAGTTGTGAATGAAGATTGGATGCTCCAGTATTTCTTCGTCAGTAAATTCGGTAACGTCGATGTATATATCGGCGTGTTTCATCTCCATTATCCCTGCCACGAGCATCAAAATAGCCCCCATCGCGCATATCATGAGAGGCTTGCAGGTCCATTTTCACAGCGACGCATAATTATTTAATGTGAATACGCGCCGTTAAAATTGTGTTTATTATATTGCGTCTCTATTATTGAGATAACTAATTCTACGTACATATAGTGAAAGATGTGTATGTTGAGTGTAATTGCATTGTCATTTTATCAGTGTTAATTAAGATTAAAATTGTCGCTATATTACAGAAAAAGGAACTCGAAAGTGTGTATTAGTATTATAAAAATATTTAAAGTTGTTTTAAACCGTATCGAGAATTATGTCCGTTGTAATGAATCGTTAAGGCATTATCTATACATCGTCACATATCTATAAATTTTTGGGAAATGACTCACTATCACAGGTCTCTCGGGGAGTATCTTTTTAACAAGCCAGAAAATCATAAGAACGAGGCTCAATCCCATGCAGATAGGATATACGAAGAAAATGGGATTCCTTTCCTCCGGCAGCGTCGGAATCGTGTCGTCCTGTTCTTGCGCGAGTTTATTCATATAGTGATGCACATGATGAAAAGTTTCGATAGCCGAGGTCATCACCTAAAAAGACCATCCGTCGTACGTTCGGTATGCTTAATAATAAAAATATCTTCGGAAATGAAAGTGGATATTAAAATTTATTTTAAAATACGAGCCAACATGCAATTTTTACCTTAAAAATGAATATTAATGCAAAGGTGTCTTGCTTTCTTAATAATAAAAGTAAAAGAACAAATAAATGTAGGTTACGAGAAGAAAGCGCGCAATATGATAACAGGAAGAAACGCTGTAAGCTGCACTTTTCGCAGACGCTCGCGAGATCATCATCGGCGATATTCGCCGTTTCGCGTGCATTGTGCCAACGCGACGCAGCAGGTTTTCACCGATCGTGACAAAACCGTCAGCTGAAATAGAACGCGGGTAATCGAACACTGCGACGGCGGCCGGCGCGGCGCGGCAAGCCGCCGCAGTTTTTCTTCCTGAAGCGATTAGAATTCGCGGAGCACACGCGAATGTCGGCACGCGTGCTCCTACGTAAATACGCCCGATGCGTGTCCGATGCGTGTCCGACGCTCGACGCACATGCCGTATCCGATTACATAATAAAAATATCGATGTCATCACACGATTATTGTTCGACATTGAATCACGGCGCGAACGACGAGAAATTCCGACCGGAAAACTGGGTCGGTCGCATTGTTTCAAGCGTAAAAAAATTACTTCATCTTGGGATGGAGGCACGTAACGACAGAGATGCGTGCGAGATCTCGAGGTATTACGTGTCATGTTTTTTTTTATCGTGAAGAAGAGACGATGAGGAAATATTATATTCCTGCGATTACACTTATTTTTGTACGTGTGCGAGAATATTTTTAGGTTTGCTTCAGTAAACGTTTCATTAACCGTAACATAGCAAATTCAGTTATTTGTTTTACTTTTTGAAATACAAACGCCTGTATCTGTCGATACACTGTCCTTTTAATTATATTTTTCGTACACCGAAGACAACGCGTGATTACTTCCTATTATCGGCTTTATTTCTCACTCCGAAATAAATATTTTGCAACATATGAGAAGATCAAGTTTCCAAGTAGAAGAAAAAGCCATCATGACATCAAAAAAATTTTTTTAAATCACTTTTTGATCAGTCAAAATTTATTTGAAAACATTTTTACGTTAACGTGACCTGTTGTTTTGCTCGGATTACGTTCGCTCACGAGCGATGTAAATTTTTCAACACATTCGGGTTCCTTACGACTTGAACAAAGTGTAAACTGGCATGCACGACATGCGAAAGGTCCGTTCTTCTTTGAAATTTTCTTTCGCCGCTGTGATATATAGCCGCGAACTTGGCAACTTCTTGGAGTCTGCGAAGCTCCAACTCGGCCTCATCCTTCTCCCTAATCGATTCCCTATTTTCGGCCCGACTCACCATTAAGTCGTTAATTATTAACACAAGTCGTCGGCAGAGATTCCCCTGTCAGTGTAACCTAAATGTAGTGACTAAACACGACAGTCACGACATTCTTGTGAATTATCTGACAAATGAACAATGACAGGAATGACATCCGCAATCAATTTATATCAATTAAAGCTGCCTTCGTCAAGAATACAAACAGGCACTAGAGAATCAATTAAATCTCATTTGAAATTACTTACTTGGCGTTAATAAAACTGGTTCTTAGATCATTAAAGCGGATAGATGCAGAAATTATGTAATAAATATATAAAATAATTGCATAATTACATAATCTTTATTTACAGCAATATAATTCTACACTGAGAGAAAAATATTTTGTATATGTACTCGTAACTATAGTTGCATGGTAAAAAAATTATGGTTAGGAGCACTATTTTTATTAGTAATTATTACAATAATATTAGTAATAATAACCTTATATATGTATAGTCCTACCAAAAATGAAATTTTATTATAAATTATAGTAATTTCAAATATTAATATAGTAAAACATCAAGATATATATAAGAAAAATAAATATTTTTATGTAGTAAATGCAACTGCAATTATAGTAAGTATAATTATTTTCTTAACATTTGCTTATTATTTATATTGTAATAATAAGTAATAACTAAAAAATAAGTAAACAAAAAAATAATATCCAATCATAATGTATAACCATAATGCATTGTTAAAGCAGCTATAATTTACATGATTAAATTAATTATAATTTATACCATACTACACTATAAATAATAGTTAAATTATGGTTATTTCAACTATATTTTTCTCTTGGTGTATTAGCCAGAATACATTTTTTTACAATATTTCAACTACCAATTTCAATTCAAAGATTATTAATTATGACTTGCGATAGTCTTGCTGTTTAATTAATGTCTCTAAGGAAAAGTTATTATTTTTCCACGAGAAGATAAGTGACAAATGACAGCGATTGTTCCGAATGGTGGGGATCGCTAACTTCTTCATCTTCTTCATCTCCGTATTTATCTCCGTCGGATAGTTAAAAGACCGACGTGCATCACTCTCCGTCCGATACGACAGATCCATTCGTTTTGGTTTGCATTATAGGGCCGCGCCAAGTCGGCAGGTGGACACTTTTATCCTCTCTCGTCCACTTCTCAAGCTTTCTCGATCTTTATCTCGCCTTTTTGCCACATTTCGAAATACCTATGCCTGCTTAGCCGCGGACACGGATCTTCCGTTCTCAAGTTAAACCCCACAATTTCTCTTCACATCATGCAGGCATTAGAGAGGACATGCGGATTCTCTCGAGATTAGAGATACTCGAGGTAGGAAGAAATAATGTCGACTTTCAGGCACATGGGCGATGTGAAATACGCCTGTGATCAATAAAACGGAATTGCGCGAGCAATTCTCTTGATGTATTTTTTTCTGAATCTCTTCTGTCGCCGGCACTTCCCGCGATCGCCGTGCACTGCAGCTTCGCGAGAGTTCGACAAATCTGAAGTCTTCGACAATCGCGCGAGAACGACGTTTTACGATCAGATTCCGATACGTTCGGCGAACGCGCGCGACACTGTGAAAGACATTTTGGAAATTTTCCAATGAAACGTCCGCGCTTTTAACAAGAGAATGGCGAGGATGTATAGAAGGTTGCTAGCACACTCTTGCCGAAAGTGTTCCCGAAATAGCGTTTGCTGATCTCTTCCGATGATATATTAAACGATTCGCATCTGTGAGAATCAAGATTGATGTGGCAAACATATTGTAACGTGATATACGCTTTTTGATGTCACTTCTGTGCTCCATTTCGAATTCGCCGTGTGAAATATTGAACGTATATGACACCGCTACATTCAAATTATAGGCACTCGCAAGCAATCTCGCGCGATATAATAAATTCTAGATCCATTAAATTATATTATATTCTTCCTCTCGACTTAAAACACGAAGACAAAAATGAATTAATTCCGTTTGAGTAAATTGTTTAATTACATAGAATTTTTTAAGTATATCTTGCAAAAACTGCGAGTAAATCTTCTCTCTCTTCAGATTAATTATAACTCCTCCCTCTTCTCATTAAGGTATCAACATTGCTAAAATTAAAAAATTCCAAGTTATTGTTTTACAATTTTATTTCTTAAGAGAACAAGTTTTTCTATAGTAAATCTCAGATATATGTTAACATAATGGACAAAAGAAAATGTTAGTACAGAGAACTCATCAGTAGATAATTTTCCGAGAGGCCGTAAATATACTTTCTTTGTCGAAAGTGAACGCTTTACAAAGAGAACTATAAACTTTACGAGCTTTACCTTTCCAATCTTTTCGCACTTTTAACCCAGAAATAGTCACTTCGAGTGATTTACAGCAACAAAAATATGGAGCTTACAATTAGTTATTATATGTTTTTAATTACTAATCGAGATATCATTATACCTATTTTTCTTTTTTCTAATTTTTTTAGAAAATATTAAGTAAATATATATATATATTCACTTAATTAATTAATTTAAATAATTAATTAAATTAATTAATTTAATTAATTAATTAAATTAATTATAAATTAAATTAATTAATTAATTAAATATATATATATATATATTTACTTAATGTTATATATATACATATATTTAAAATTTCGAATACACACACACTAATAAATTGTAAAATTGTCAATAATAAGCAATAACTCAAATGACAATAAGTAATAATAATGACTTTTAATTGGGATGTAAAATCATGATCGTTTACGAAGGGAAGAAACAAATTAAATAATTATTCTCGGATTAAGAATTTTCAACGTCATGCAACATTAACGCTGTAAAATTTTTTTTCTTTTTCCTCAATATTTGACATTTTCGCAAAGTTATAGGGGCCTCGCATTGAACTGTTATAACATTTTATAAGACTGGCCGCTACTTCGTCGCTATAATTTTAACAATATCGCCTGCACGCGAATAGAAGTCTACCTTAATTATTACTCTTCACGCTCGATCGAAAGTTTAATCTCTGATTTTATAATCGTTTCCTACCGCTCGGATGAGAAAGAATTACGTTATCATCGAGGATCGTGTCATTGTCAGAGCTGCACCCTGCAGCTGCAGCGCGTACGTTGCAATTGCAAATTGCAGCTCACGCAAGTGGCAGTTCCCCGTATGCCCGTTGGGTATAAACGCGGAGGTAGGATACTTTATTGTTTTACTTATCCTTCAAGTTGCCGTTTCAAACGTATAATTATAATCGGAGATGGCACATTGCGCAACGCATGCAGCGTGCGCGCATCCAGGGAAAGAGCGCGCGTGCCTTTTTTTTCTTTGAATTTATCGACTTCTCCATGCAGTCGTCATTCTCTCGATAACATTCGCGGAGTAGAGAGAGGAAGGCAGAGAGGGAGAGAGAGAGAGAGAGAGAGAGAGAGAGAGAGAGAGAGAGAGAGAGAGAGAGAGAGTATGTGGATGCCCCGTGTAATTGCGCCTTTTGAAACGGCGCCTCCGTTCCTTTCTCCACCGTCGTCGTCCAGACGACCTTGGCGATGCGATCGAACAGAAAAATCCGATTTGCTTCTTTTATCGATGCTATTACCGATTCGATAAATCTCGGGGTAATCGTCGAGACGAGAGACGCGTCGTCGTCGTCATCGTCGTCGTCGTCGGCGTCGTCGGCGTCGTCGTCGGCGGTGCGAGTAGGAAGACACCGCGCTGCGCGCACACGAGGAAGAAATCAATTTTCCAAGTGAAATTTATTTCTTGCGCGTCGCGCGGCAGAAGCGCGAGAGAGGCAAGAACGTCTCCGCTCGGCTAAACAAGTGGCTCTTAAATAACTTTCTGTTACGCAATTTCTACTTGCTATTTTGCCGTCTTCCGTTATTGCACGCGTTACATTGCTTAACGCGGAGTGGATTACAAATGGATATTAATGAAAAAAAAATCAGTTCTTTATAAACAGGGACAAGAAACGTCTTAATTATGCGGGGCATTTCGAAGAAGAAATCGCATTTCGCGCGCGCGCACTGGCATACGTTCGTCTTATTGAAATAATATACACCGGTTCGAGAAATATAAAAATTTTTCTGCTGCAAGGTGAAAGATATTTACATGCGCGAAAACACGTCGACGAGATTATACTACATATACGTTACATGTGCTCGTGTAAAGAAAATAAATATAGATTGGCCTGAGAAGTTAGTTTTCGCAAAAGTTAGTTATGGCCGGAAGAACGTGATTTCGGGTTACGATAAAAAGCGATCCGACAGAATTCTAAAAAATCAAAGATTTATTTGCCAGAGTGGTGAAAATCTGATACTCTTTTTCCGCCGCAGAAATCAGCTATATCCACCTGCTGTCGTATTTACAATAAATTCGTCGCGTTTTGTACAGTCGTGGACATATCGGTTGCGACACTTTTTTTTTTAATAGGTTTCGAAACGCACTAATATTTCACAAATGCTAACCACGATTGGTGTACTGTCTTTAGACTAACGATAGTACATCATCGTGGTTCGCATTTGCAAAATATTAGTTACCTATAAAATATAATATACACTCGACAGCAAAATTAAAGCATCACTCATTCTGATCACTAAAAATAGGCAAATTTCAAGAGAGTGTAACTTCGTCAAAAATGATCGTATCGGAATGATCAAAAAAGCATTTTAAAGCTTAAAGTCTCTACTTTCGACACCCATAATTCATTAAATTACTTACTGATTATATACAAAGCTGCACGGATGCAAATGGAGATGCATCAAATCTAAAAATTTTTTACCAAGTTTGAGAAGTTCCAAAAACTAAACTAAAAATCGCACGCAAATGAGGTTTACATCGTTCGA